AAAAGAACAACCTAACTTTACCGACAGATCGAAACAGACCAATCACGACCGACTTACGTCACTTGAGTCTTACAGCCAATAACATCACGGCAAAACCAACCGATCATTTCACACGAACTGGAATAAGAACATTCTACTGACAACAATCATTCACTTGACTCTGATGATGACTTCCGCACAGGTTGTCGAAACGTCAGTCACTGCCACCGACAACAGTCCTTCTCAGGACTACACTCACCCGGACGATCAGACTACACCTTCACATGTTACCCCCGGGTTCAAACCATTTACTGGAATTCAAAAGTTTGCACATTTAATTTTTTTTACTTGATCACTCCTATTTCTAATAAGCGACTGATTTTCAAATGTACAAGTGTAATGAACTCACCATTTGTCACTTTCTTGATTGAAGCAGCTACAGCGAATGGGCTCTTAACCCTTTTTGGACTCTTATGCTCTATTTTCATTTCCTCCTGGGTGTTCAAATCACCAGGGCCTGATTTCACCAACAGGCTCAAAAGCCCTTTCATTATTTTTGCCTTCCATCCACGCCTCAAAATCCAAATGCTCGGACCCTGAGTTCGAACTGCTTTCACCAGAACTACTATCCGCCATGTTTACTTAGCTGAGTGTACACATGTGTGACGCACCAGGTCACATGATCAAATTCAAAGCATTTAGGTTGAATGACTTACAAAGCAGCATTAAGGGCAGTTTTTCGAGAAGAAAAAAGTACAAAAATACCTTCTGTCAATGTTACTTGAGGTATTTAGACAGTATTCCAAAAAAGTGACTTTTTAGCCTTCAGTTACCCTTTAAAGATTCACTGCTTGAGAGATTCACCATTGGGAGATTTTCAATTATAAAGATTCCCTTCTTGACAGATTCCTTACATACAAGATTCTGATCAGTTCCACCATACGTATCAGTTCAAGTAATATGACCCAAACATTCTTCAACAATTTATCATCATCATTTTGACACCAGAGGTTGCCATGATGATATATAATCTCAAAACTATACAAACTTTTTGGCCTATTAAACGGTTAGCATTTCTTTAAAATTAATTAAATAACCAACCTTAATTTCAAACCAGATTGTTTTGAGGGCGCATCAAGTCCATGAATGATGACCTGTATCACGGCTTCCGAGGAGACAGATTGAATTGAAGAACCTCCCCCCCTCGAAAGTACACTGTGTTCAGAAAAAAAACTTTCCACCTCATTTAGCTGAGTCTTCTCATCAAAACAGAACACCCGCAGGAGCAAATCACCAGGAACATTCGTTTGACATAGGACAGCCAAAAAGGTTACGTCTTGTGACATGGGCAATGTGGTTTCATCCATGACGAAGAAAAACTAAGGTCCTCTTCAGAACGCTCAAGTTGATTTGCTGGCAAAGAGAGAGGCATCCCAAACATCACTGACTTACAATACAAATAATACAATTACTTCTAAGAATAGCCCCTAATCCTTGCATTTTGTCATCTCCAACGTTTAGAATTTAAAATTCAATCTTACCAGCAAGTGAAAGTCCTTAAACGGACGCAGATTATTACATCAAATGTAGCTTACTAATATCACTGGAACTCTAAAACGCTATCCAGTAAGAGTAACTAGGAAAAATTAACAAAATATGGTCATCCCATAACTTCGCACTCCACAAAATGGTGGACCTCCCAACCTGGGCAGTAAAAGTAAGCGGTCAACAAAGCGGGCTCAACCGTGCGTGTATCATCCGTTGCAGATACATAACTAAGTTATTTCTTCCAATCAAAAGGCGTTGTGAACGTGTCTCTTGCTTGTCACTTCCCAACAAACAAGAAGTTCGAAGCACCAAGTAGCCACGAGGTTAAGAGAATTCCCTCCCTAGTAATAAAAAGCTGAAAAGTATGCATGTGGTAAATGAAAGACCGTACCTTGGCGAGAATCGTCCGCTTAGAAAACGTCAAACAAGTCTTTCGAGTTAGAGTTCAACCGCACCCTACACGGACCTCGGCCATATTGGAGTCAACGTAGATAGCGTTGCAGTTGTGTCCTCCGTTGTAGCTATGTCCTCACAACTACTAACCAATAGAATGTGGTTTTGTTTCTTCCAATCAAAAGGCGTTGTGAACGTGTCTATTGTTTGTCACTTCCCAACTAGGGGAGGGATGCAATGCAAAAATATGAATTGTAAGAAGATCGTTAAGATTTCCGCGCTCGAAGGTTAAGAATTTCACGGGATATCCTTGTTTCATGAGCTATCCTTGGTGTCGTTTGGGACACTTCGGATTGGTGAAAGATTAAGATTCTGGTTGCGTTTTTAAGTGCGAATTATTGGCGAAATTTTCTTCGATACGTTGGAAAGCTTAGGAAGACGAGAATTTGAC